GATTGCGCTTCTATCCGACATTCAGGCCTGGGAATGGTCGGTGTTTGGGTGTCAGAGCAGAGCTGGACTGCTGAGGAGGGATCTAATTGAAACTTAAAATACTGAATGGCCTGGACAAAGTGGATGTCAGGAAGATGCTTCCATTGGTAGGAGAGACTAAGACCCGAGGGCACAGCCTTAGAGTAAAGGGACGACCTTTTAGAACGGAGATAAGGAGAAACTTCTTCAGCCAGAGAGTGGTGAATCTATGGAATTCACTGCCACAGAAGGCTGTGGAGGCCAGGTCATGGAGTACATTTAACACTGAGATAGATAGGTGCTTGATTATCAGGAGGATCAGGGGTTACGGGAGAAAGCGGGAGAATGAGGTTGAGGAACTTGTCAGCTATGATTGAATGGCGGAGCCGACTCGATGGGCCGAATGGCCTAATTTCTGCTCCTATGTCTTATGGTCTTATGCTTTCTATTACAGTATGTTTTACATTCATAGAAAACAAAAGATGTTGCTGAACACAAGAGCATGGGCAGGCAGGTACAATCTGTGTGTGTGTGTGTGTGTGTGTGTGTGAACAGCTGTGTAATGTCGTTAAACAAATCAATAATTCGAAGAAACTCATGTGAAAGCTTAATTTAGAAAGTTATTAGGGGGTTGATGCAGTCTACACCTTTGATGAGCAAAAATAAAACAAAGAACTGTAAATGCTGGAGATCCGAAACAAAAACTGAAAGTGCTGGAGAAACTTGACGGGTCCGACAGCATCATCTGTAGAAAGAGAAACAAAGTTAACATTTCCAGTCCACCTTCAGAAGGAAGGTCTCGAAACATGAATTCTGATTCTCTCTCCACGGATGCTGCCAGATCTGCTGAGTTTCTCCAGCAGTTTCAGTTTAGATTTATATTGCAGCCTGCGTTCTGACTAGAGGAAACATTGCGGTTCGTAATGCCTCACGATTTCTAAACATGTACATTTCCGGGTGGGCAGGACAAGCCATTAGCTTTTCTCTCTCTGTATAAACGACTCAATAATAATAGTGTTATTTCAGACTCCAGCATCGGCAGTTCTTACTATCTCTCAATAATAATGCCTCGTGTAGCACCTTTCGTGGCTTTAACACGGCCCCAAATTGCTGTACAATGAAGAGCATTTAAAACGCGTTCTCAGCTCTGAAGAGTCACCTGCCGTCGAAACATTAGCTTGCTCTTTCTCCACGGATGCTGCCTGACCCGTTGTGATTTCCAGCATTTTTTGTTCAGTACAGATTCCAGCATCTGCAGTAATTTGCTCCTCCTTCTCTGTTGTGATACTGTTTTGGTCGCACGTTCCTTTCAGAACAGCGAAACTGCCTCTCACCGACAGATAACTCTTGAAGGAAGGGAGGGAGGAATTCATGGCGTTTGGAGATAGCAAGAGCTGCAAATGCTGGAGTCAAGGATGATACAGTGTGGAGCTGGAGGAACACAGCAGGTCAGGCAGCAGAGGAGGAGCGGGAAAGTTGACGTTTCGGGTCGGGACCCCTTCAGAAGAATTATGGCGTCTGTTTGTGTAATGCAATCGGATTCTGAACATATTCCAAGCTTGTCAAACATTCGATTCCAAGAGCAAGGGTGTTCTGCCATGTTACTATATAACTGCAATCATTTATAAACACTCTGGTCTACGCTTGGAGTGTTGAGACAGAATGAGGGTAAACAGGTAGTATTGGGGGTGGGTGGGAGCGGGTGATAGCCAGTGAGTGAGAGTCGCTCCTGCTCCAATTTCGTCAGTTCTTATCAAGGGAGATGTGGCTAGTGTGAGCAGTTCGAGATGAGATCGAAGATCAATCACTGATCCTAATGAGTGGTGCAGTCGACTCGATGGGCTGAAAGCTCTCATTTCTTATGATCTTATAGAATTGGCGGTACGAAAGTGGAATGCCAAATGGTGGTCTGATGTGCGAAGACAATGAAAAGAAAGATAGAAAGAGGGAGCCCAAATGGACGTATGAATTCGAAATTTTTTTTACATGTGACTTAGCATTTCCAGGTATCAGATCCTTGAGATGTTTGCTTCCATGCATATGATGGCAGCCACTAAGCTGGAACTACCAGGTACAAACCACCTGTTCAAAATTCAACTCAGTGCTAAAATGAAGCTCGACTCAGCAGCGCTGAGCCTCTGCACTCCTCTCATTCTGGCCTCTTGCCCAACCCCTCACTGCTCCATCATTGGTGGTTGCGCCCTTAGCTGCTTCGATACAAGGTGGACTGTCAATAATCCCTTTGTCTGCCTACATTTCTCTCTCTGAATTCTGTATCCGTTCAGCCCTCTCCACCCATCCCTATCATCAACATGGATAACACCTTATAACAGCTGTTATCAGTTCTAAGAAAGGTCACAGAAAACGTTGACTCAGGTTTTCATTCCATAGATTCTGCCAGACCAGCTAAGTTTCCCTGGGCGCTTGCTCTAAAATGCACGGCCCTACTCGAACCATTGCCTCCCCATCCATTCAGACCCTTTCCTGAACAACCCCCATCTTTCTTCCTCTCTCTCTCTCTAACCTTTCCTTACTTTTCCTCGTATCTTTTTAAATGACTCGCTGTCAGTTTTTGTTTTGTTTGCTAAAGGCCGCGATGTAAAATACAAATTACGAATCCCAGTCGCTCTACTCTGAGCGTATCAATATTTGCACGAAACTATGTCACACTGAGCTCACTCAAAAAGATTTTAGAACGAGTGTGTTACGTTGGGAATGCAATGCCTGAACGTTACGTAAAGTACCTACCATTTCAATGAAAACCCGACTGAGTTAAAAACAGGCGCAATGCATTGGAAGAGAAAGTGCGGACCGACAGTTCGCGCACCTGAAATAAGAGTTAAATCTCTCCCACAGTTCAAAAACCTCTTCATTTAAGAAGCGCAGTCCAAGAACTCCAAGTGCCTCTCTATATAAAGTAAACATTGTCACTTCTGATTACAGCAAACTCAACATACAGGAACTGATAGTGCTTTCTACATAACGCTGTTAAAATGAAAGTGGTTTGTTTATTTAATGAGCGAAATGTCACAATACATTGTTGCTGTGATATATGAATCGGTGGCAGGTGTTGGTGGCAGATTCACTGAAATAGGGGCTGAGGAATTAACAAATTTAATTTGCGTTAGATCCGCAACCTCTCATAGAAACATGTGGTCTGATTTCTCAGTCTTTGGGATGCCCCTTTGTCCCGCCCCGTGGATGAGAGGTTTTTTTTCTCTCTCTTTCGCCGTTTAGAAACGCCAACTTGGAGGGAAGGGACAGTGGAGAGATGACATCCATGCACATTGACAACACTGGCAGGCCACACACACCAGGGCTACTCTCCTCTGTGTAGGCAAAACCACTGAACTTTCGTACCAGCAGGGCTGCTGAGAACTGGAGTAAATTCATCCCACTGCAATTTTCTCCGCGCACATTTGACTCCAGTTCATGGCTTCTAAGGCCGCTACAAATAGGAGGGTGCTACAGTCAATTAAACTCATCGTTTCATTAACACACACACACACTAATGCAAGATGCACTTCAGGCGCTATTTAAAAAGACATCTGCAATCAATTATACATTAACCCACGCCGAGTTGATTTGCCAACAAGTTGCCCTCTTCTCTAACGCCCCCCCCCTCCATTTGATAAATTAATATAGACTTACATCTTTTTTTAAAAAATAAAATGATCAATTTCAAAGTCAGGCCAACTTTAATTCTCCAGCAGGCTGCACTCCCCCTCCCGTTCTGAACGGGCAATGAAAATCCTCAATGATCAATCCCAGTGGGGGAGGAGGGATTGAATTGGGTGAAACCTCTTTTACTTGTCCCTTCTGGGATCTGTCCCTTCCTTGCCAACTCTTCAAATCGAGGCAGCCGTGGAACAGTGAGAAGTGGCGAGTAATGTACACGTATTTCGTGAAATTTCACAGAAAGGAAGCGCCATCCTCTCTGATATCAAAAAAAGAAAGCAATGACTGGCCAAGTGGCGAGACGCTGTTTTTGGGGGAGGGTGGTGGGGAGGGGAGAAAAGTAAATTGGAAAAGGTAAGGATGGCTGAAAACTAGATAGCTAGGAGAGCGCCTGATTACAAGAATGGTCGGTAATTAAAAATAATTAGGAAGCAGTTATGCCACTAAATCTTCTAAGTGTGCCAGTTATGATCTAATGATTCTCATTAGACATGCTGAAAGCTGTGAGCTCTGTATGACAGCTGCAATTAGAGGGATCATAGCAAAATATTATAAATATCCATGCTAAGACTCGCTTTCGCTTAATGGCCACTTCATTAGCTAATTGATTCCTTATTAGTTACAGGCAAAGTCTGGTTAGGGCTCCACCGCAGCTAATTAACATCGTATAAACACTTAACAGTCGAATGTTCATTTTTTTTTATATGTTGGTGAATGCAAAACAACTTAATATTCAAATACAACTGCTGCTGGGGGCGCTTGCTTTAGTTTTGACTAATATTATACAAATGGCGTGTTGTTTCTCTTTGCCTTAAAAAGGCAGAACGCAAGGCAATGTCGAATTTGGAGAGGTGTTGGATGGGGAGGGGGTGAATAGGGATTAACAGGTCCCCTTTCTGTTATCATCACCTCTCTCTTTCTCAACACGCCATCAAGGTGGCTCCCCAGCCGAAAAACATTTGCGACATAAGGACATCAATTCCTTCAAGGGTCACACACACATCTGTTTAAACGTGTTCTTTTTTTTTAGAAAGAATATATTTAGTGCTTAATTGGAAAATAAGTTACAGAGCGAACTGACATGCCCAAAAAGCTTCGTGCAAAGCGTCTGAAGTTGCAAATTTTATGTTTAAAAATAACCTGTTCCTTGTCAATCTTGGTTCAAAGTTTCCTTTTTAATTGGCGAAATCAGTTTAAATTAAAACAAGTGACTTTCGTACTATTTAAAATGCGTTCATCTTATAATTTGCAAGGCAGCCAGCAAGATTACACAATGCCATTTCCTTCCTTGCACTGCGGTATGTAATTCAATAAAATTCACATGAAGATTATTAATGCTTTCTACACGTACGCGAAAAAAAACCTAATTAAAGGCTATCTTTTCTAGGAGGTGATCGGACCACAATAAAGAGAAACGATTTCCAGGCAACATTTGTAATGATTGAATTTCTTTTTGTTTTGTTGTAGCTAATGCTTACATCCCTGGCGAGCGTTCTTTTGAAACTCAAAGCGTCGTGTCGATTAAGCGGTGGTCCTTTATTCCTCAGCACTTTTGTTCATCTAATCGGGCGTTGAAACTCCAACACTTGGCGGGTAATCGCTCCCCTCATCTAACAAACCGGAAAGTAAAATATTGGAATGATAAACCACTCAATCAGGCAACGTTCAACCTCCCCTAATAGGGGTGAGTTTGCCTTGTGTGTGACTTCAGTTCCCAAACACTTTACATATGGGACTGAAAAAGTGGCATGCATTTTGATCCTATTTTTTTAACTCTGGCAATAATAAGTACCAAGTACCCTTTAACTTTAAAGGGGCTGTTTTCCGTTTTTGTTTCTTAAATCCAACTGATTTATTTTAGAAGTTCTCTGATATTTTATAGTTAAAGTTTATTTTCAGCTCGCCTCTTTATGTACCTAATTCAAATTGAGACAAGTTGCGACAGCCGCTCACTAAAGACACCGGCCCTGACTGAATGCGTCGAATGGTGTGGCATTTCGATCTATAGATCATAATTATTTACAGTGAAATACAGCTAAAAGTGCAGGATGTTATGGTTCGTGGAAGAAAGGATTGCAAAGGGACAGTCGTTAGAGGGGAGAGCACAACATTTGAAACCACAATGTGGGACCAAATTGCTGCAGCTGCTGGGAATCTCAAAGACAGATATATTCCCGTATAAATTAAAGCAGGTAACACTATTCAAGCTTAAAAAGCAATTTCTTAAAAGCAGGATTTTTTTAAGAAAGTTTTTTTTAAAGAAAAAATCGATTCATTTTGAGCGGTGGAAATATGGAGAAGTTGCTTCGCTGTAAAAGGATCATAAAATATCATCGTCGCTTGGAAATCGATTGAGAACAGCACCGAAGGGATTTCAGACATGCAAGCTGTGTGTGTGTGTTTTTATGAACGGATTTCCTTGACCTAATAAATACTGGACGATCTCAAAGAAAATCAAATCCGTACTAAATTTTAACTCCATCAAATAAACATCTAGGCATCCAAACGAGAATAGACATTTTGAGATGGGGTGTTCATGAAGATTTCATTTGTGTTCTTAAAACTCCCCGGTGGTTTCTAGAGAGTGAATTCGGGTATCTATTTAATGCAGTGGTAATGAATTCGCTGTTAATGAAGATCTATTAGCCCTGGTTCCAGTATATTTGAGTCTATCGCAAAGGGAAATGTAAACCATTCAATTGTTGTGTTAAGAATACGAACATTTTACACATGATACAGCAATCTGCCATTAACAGGGTGATTCCACCTACTAGATAAACCTTATGTACATACCCCGTGGTGATTTTTTTGACACGGCTGTGTGCCGTTTGGTCTGTTATCCCGCCCCCCACCCCCTCCGTTTTGACAAGTCAGGTATTGTCTAAAACAGTGCTATCAATACTGATCAGTATGTGTTCGATGGAGAGAACATAATCATTCAAACAGCCCTAACTGACTGGCGCTCTAAGGAGGGCATGGCGCTTCAAAACTCCGTGTGTTCTTGGAGCCGCTCTCGGCACCTCCGTCTCGGAGACGCGAAGACACTAATTGATTGATTAATCTCTGGTGAACTGCATAATGGGACGTGTGAAATTAGAAGGCGGCCCGTTATTTACCGGAGCAGCTCCATCTTCCGGTGCATTTTCCTTGCCACGATTCCACCGGCCCTTGGAGAACAATAAATCGTGATTAATATTTCACTGGGAAGGCAATGATCTTTCCCCCCTTTTCCCTTTATTTATCCATCTGCCCGGCTAACGCCTCTTGGTTTAATGCTAGCTTCACCTAAGACTATCGTATCTAAATGCTCATTGACAAAGCATTGAGGGCTCTGCAGAGCAACTGCTGGAGTCCCATTTGAGCCCCAGGTCTCTCTCTCTCTCTGCGCGGCCTGCCCCTGGGGGTGTTGTTAGATTGCAAACCCACACGTGTAATCCACGTCAATGCACCAACATAAGTCACATACAAAAAAAACATCATGGGGATGGCTTTGAACTCTGCGCCATTATTTTAAGCGCATCTCAATCAGGCAACAAGGCTATCGTTATACACCTAAGACGAGTTTATTAAAATTCCAACGCGTTTTGAAATGTTATCCAATTCTCCAACTGTGCAACAGTTCAGGATTTTTGGAGGGGTTGAGTTCTTGGCCGGGGTGTCTGTTTACAAAGAAACGTAGCGGGACGTCTCTCATGAACTTTTGATATAGACTTTTTTTTGGAGGGGGAATTACAGTGGAAATATTTTCAGCCCCGATTTGTGACTTTAACATCAACTGATCGATTGGTTATTCGCAGTCGAGTGGCTGTTGGCGGTGTTGATAAAGCCGGGATGGCTGTGAAAGGGGCTCATGTTTGCTCCCAGTTCATCCGGAGGTTCAGGTTGTTTTTCTTTAATCTCACCCCCTCCAACCTCCCAACTTGCACCAACAGATCTCCCTCGCTGCAGAATAAACAATGAGAAACGGTGACGGTCCGGAAGAAACCACAAGCCACAAATCGTGTTGCTGTTCATTTATTGAAGAAGGGAAGGGGAAGGGGAAGGTATATGAACTTGACGTGGGAAAAGTCCCGAGCCCTCCGAGTTCATTTGGAAAAAGCTAGGTTGATCACAGGGAGAGCCAAGAAGTCACTGCATAAATCTCACACGAAGCGGCTACAAACCTTTGCGAGAAAGAGGGCTATGTGATGGAGCACATGTTTCCACAACACTGGGGTAAAGTGGGACTGACACCCATCTGTAAGAGACACCCTACGGGGCGCATCAGGCGGCTGTCAAACACTAACAGTGCACTTTGAACAGGTCCATGAGGAGTTATCAATGGGTCCTCATAACAAACACACGACGTCCCTCAGTAACATACTCCTTCTCAATGAACAAACACTGAGGTACGGAGGAAACGGAATTCAAAGGCGCGGGCAGTGAAGAAGGTCACATATTAACTGCGAAGAAGTTTACCTTTAAGGCGCCTGTTTTAAACCAAGGTTAGACTTCCACCAGTTGAAGCGAGCTATTCTATTTTACAGCAATTCTCATTCAAATTCGCTTGTATTCGTCTGAAAGAGTTTTGGAGATTCGATGGGGCAGAGGTAGAAACGTGAATGGGTAGGTGTTGGGAGGGCAGTGGGGGGAGAAGTGGGAGGAGAATGGAGAAGGCAGTGGAAAGAGAAATGGAGACATGAGGTTGGTAGGGGGAGAGGAGGAGGGGGTTGCTGCGGAGAGGAGACTGAAGTGGGGAAGGGACTGGGGAATGACAAGGGAGTAGAGGGGAATGGGAAAGATGAGGGGGCAGGTGAAAAGGGAGGGGCGTGGAGCGAAGAAGGGGAGGGAGTGGGAGGGGAGTCAGGAAAGGAAGGAAGGGAAGGGGAAAGAAGATGGGGGAGTAGGGGAGAGAAATGGAGAGGGAAGTAAGGTGAGAAATGGGAAGGGGGGGGGGGAGAGAAATGGAGATGGGAGATGGGAAGATAAATGGAGAAGGAAGTAGCGGAGAGAAATGGAGGGGGGAATTGAGAAGGGAGTGGGAAGGGATGGTGAGGGGAGAGAAGTGGAGAGGGGAATAGGGAGAGAAATGGAGAGTGGAGTTGAGAGTGAAGTAGGGATGGAGTAGAGAGGACAATTGTGAGGGGAGTAGTGGGGAAGTAGAAAGACAATGGGGAGGGTAATGGAGAGGGGACTAAAGAAGAGAGAGGGGATTGGATTGAAGAAAGGAATGGAGAGGGGATTGGAGAAGAGAGCGGGGAGTGGAGCAGAGAGGGGAGTGAAAAGGTTGCCACTTCAAGCATGTCGCGTTGTTTTTGTTTTACACACAAAGTGCAAACCCATCCCCAGAATTATTAACGTCACTCGGACGGTGAATCGTGTCTGGCTCCTGGAGCCAGGCTACAAACCCTCGAGACAAGTTGCACGTCATTTCTTAACAGTGAAGGCACAAGGACACAGACCTCTCTCTGGGTTACCTCCTTATTCCAGCTCACATGCCGGAAGATGCAGCAGTATTGTTGCTTACAATTCAGTATCTTAAATCCGAGGCTAAGGTCCAGCTCCAAAATTGCGAACCCAGGAAAATTGCATGGTGCCCGTATCCTTTGAAGCTGATACCACACGCACACTCTCTTCTCCACCCCAGCCTGGGGAAGGTTAAAGCAGACCAGTATAAGTTGTGCAAAGGCACTGCCACACATCTGTGCTTGTGGTATCGGTCTTCACTCTGGGGCGTCACAGCAAGTAGCAGAAATGTAGCGGAATTTGACTAGGGTGACATAATTCCTGAGTGTGTAAACAGACTGAAGACAAGCAGGGCTGAAGCACGACCGGATTTTCTGCTCCGTCTCTCCTAAAACAATAATACGTTGTGACTTACTAAAAAGGTTGCTTTTGTCAAAACGTTGCTAATAACGTTGGAAAGTCGCACGTAATTGATCGGATTTGTAATTTGCAAGGACAGAAATTGGGGACGGGTTGAGTTTCCCTTAATTCAGTCCTTCTCAATTCTTGAAATCACACGCATTACGAAATGTAATTTTATTTTCATAAAAAAGGGTCATCTTCACTCATTTTAAGTGGATTTGTTGATTTGGAGATTCTAATATAAAATTCAGGTGAATTCCTTCTTATAATAATGTGCTATGGTGAAGGCACAAATGGAGCACTCCAGGGTGAATGCGTGAGTTTGATGTGAAGAGGGGAACTTTGTGGCTATAACTGGGTTCGAGAGCCGGAGAGCAGGATCTGTGTACCTTTATTTACCTATAAATATTAGGGCCCAACAATAGCATGTCCAGGAGCCTCGTGGATTCCTACTTGGCGCTGTTATTCAGGCGGTCCGTTGGTGAACAGGGAATGGAGATTCTCTCACTACATTTCAATATTTTCGATGAATGATGTCCTCTATCAGTGCCAAAGGATGGACTGTAGGTGGACTATTTGTTCATTTGCGCGCATATTGAATTAAGGACTTCATTGCATGTCACTTTTAAAAAGAAATCTATATCGGAGGTGACATATAGATGAAGCAATACAATAACTGTCAAGATCAGTCACTGTAAAAAGGGAGCAATGGTATATTTGCTCCCACCTGTATAATATGTTAAAATCCATGTCGTAACATTTCTGCAAATTTGGGGAGCCGATTCTCTTAAATTTTGTTTTTAAAAAGTAGCAACTCTTATTGCAAACATTAATTTCTTTCCTCGCTAACTTTATCTCGTTCGGTATGTTGTGATTTTAAATACAACAACAACGTCATTCACCAAGAGAAAAATTAATAATTGCATGAGATGCTCGCTTCACTGGGGGTCGTTGGCCTCCTTAAACTATAAACTGCAGAAACTGAGCAGTTACCCAGAGACCTAGACACGCTGCATAACCACAGCCCGCCTTATATATTCTGGGTATAATTAATAGCCGACAGGTACTCATTCTGAAGGATTAACTAACAAGTGATCTGCATAAACAAGCGTATCTAATGCGACGATTATATAATTAGTTAGAAGGTAAATATGAGATATAAATTTAAAAACTGAAGCTAATTTCATCTTACGCATCAGAACAGACTTGCGAAAATGCAAGATATCAAATTAAATACCGGAACGCAATAATTTGCAATCGAAAGGTCGAATATGCATAAATATATGCACAACCGTGTTATATTGTCATGTAAAACACCTCTATCGCATTTGGTCGAATAATGATGACAAAAGACATCGTGATTTTGCTGTCCTTTGTGTGCATTAGTTAGACAGGTGGCCTGTATATGTTGAACCTTTCTTAAATGCAATAAAATTAACGTATGTGCACACCCCCTCCCCAAACACACCAGCGTTCTGCAATCGTGAGGCTGGTGAGTTTAGTTTGATCCGCTGCCACTGAACTCGGCGACTTGCAGTGATTTCCCTATGTAAACAGTTGGCACACGTCTCGGGTGTTTACCCAAGTAATGGGAGAGCAATAATAGGATTGTAATTGAATTAAAAGAATCCTATTCGGTTACTGGATTAGCGACAGAGAGAGAGAGAGAGCAGTTGGGCTGGGGGTTGGTGGTGGGGAGGAGGTATACAGGTTGTATGATCCACGCGTCTGAGACGTATTCAACTGAATAATTGCCGAAGAGATGGAAGGGGGGTGGGTGTATGTGTGTGTGTGTGTTGGGAATGGGAGGTGGGCTCTGATCGCCAAGTATAAATACTCTGATCTCAAATAGTAACACATAACACCAGGGCCCGATCTCCCTCCGCCAACACCCCTCCCAACAGCATGTAACAAGGTGGTTAGCAAAATAACAAGGCATCATTGCAAACACATTGTGGACAGAAGGAGGGAAAGGGGTGGTTGGGGGGGGGAGGGAGGGAGGGAGAGTGCGTGGGGGCTGGATTTTTTTTTCTCTCTCTTTCTGCCGGCTCGGAGGCTGTTTGTACACAGACACAAACACACACACACATACAACACGTTGAGAAGGGGAGACATATACATATTCAAAAGAGCAGCGAGCGGGCGAGCTAACCATGGAGGAGCTGACGGCATTCGTCTCTAAATCTTTCGAGCAAAAAAGCAAGGATAAGAAAGAAGCGATCACGTATCGGGAAGTTCTGGAGAGCGGGCTAGCTCGATCCAGGGAACTGAGTGGCTCAGATTCCAGCTGCCAAGAGATCACTGACACCAGCCATTGCACAGCACACGTTTACAAGGATGTGGAGAACGAGAACGAGAAAGTAAAAGACTTGAACTCCGCCAGAACTTCTGAAGGTAGGCAGCTTTTTTTTTAAATGTGTGCCCTAGCCATAATCTAGGTGAGTCCACGCCGAGAAAACTTAATAGGCTTCAGGAGAACACCGAGCATTTCTCTCGGCCTGTTACCGAGGCTTTAGACGGAAAGCATCGGGTATCGATTCCTCGCAGTACCCTCTGTGAATCCTGCAGAGAGAGACAGAAAAGTTCGCTCCAATTCATCCCGGGGTGGGAGGCCGGGCGGGAGGGCAGTGCGGGGAGGGGGCGGTGGGGGGGGGGGGGGGCTGCTCCCTTTAACTGTTTAGGGCAAAGAAAAGACTTTGACAAACATGGGAGAATGGCGTGGGGTTTCTCCTCAGCGCTCGCCCCCGACACCATCTGAGGGTTTGGGAAGTGCCCTCAGTCGGGGCAACTCTCTTAATATTCTGCCTCATTTGTTACCCTCCCCCCCCACCCCCAACCCCAACCCCCTCTCCCCTCCTATGTGATATTCTTGCACACAAACCCAGCGATCTCTCCCTCCTCGTTCCTAGCGGGGCAAGGGCCACTCCATGTTCAGGCTGAGGGAGTGGGGAGAAAATAATAATAAAAAAGACATTAATCTTTCTCCTCCGGCTGGCTAACCAGTCGCCAAACCTGGAATTCGCTGAAAAAAAAACAGCGATTTTCAAAAAAGAGTCCTTTCGATTGTGGAAAGTGGCGTGGGTTGGAATTCGTAAATGGCTGCAGATATCCCCAAATCTCGCACTCAAGTGACGAGAAAAGCACACGGCTTTGCTTGAATCGGATTCTAGGTGCAATTAAACAGCACTGTCGTTAAACCGAGTGTGCACGGTTAATAGACTCTGCAAAATGCACATGGTCACTTCATGTAAAGACTGGGCTAACCATATTACCAGCTAGTTCATAAGATTCGACGATTTCATTCGAAAACTAAATAACTCAGTAAAAGGCAAATCATTGTCAGACTCTTAAATCATTGTTTTATATATAGCAAATATATTTTAGCTCTCCATACTGTCTAGCAGCGGATGTCACCAATTCGAAGTATGTAAAAAAAAAGGCAAAATCTTTGGGGAAAAAACATCTACATGCATAACGGCGATTGTGTAATAAAAATCTGATCCTGGGTGTTAAATAGCGCATTTACATGCGTGCGGTATTGTACGCCAGATTCATTCTGTCCCACCTATATATTAATATTTCAGCTTTATTCAATTGAAGGCAATAACAGAATGTACTGGCGCTTTTTATTGCTATTCATATGTGCTGTGAATTCAGACAGTGACTTGAAAGAAATGATGCCATGAAATCCCATCCTAATGCAATTACCTGGGATGATGGAATGAGCAGTATTCTCTAGGAGAGTTTAAACAGCCGAAGCAATCTCTATCGGTGTAAAGAGGATGCCTTATTATGATTCATACAGTTCAGGGAAGACAT